GCTGGGGTGGCACAAGAGGTAGCAGTGCACATTAAAGTCACTTTAGAAAATAATGCTAGACTGCCAGGCAGGGTGGCACATGTCTTCAATCCCAGCACTCAAGAGGCAGAAGCAGGGGGATCTCTGTAACTTCAAGGCCAGCCTTGTCTACATGGTGACATGAGAGGTACATAGTAAGACCCTGTCTCAAATATTAAATAATAATAATAAACTTGTCTTTACATATATTTACACAGAAATTAGAGCGACTGCTTCTAAGCTGTGTGGAAGGCTCCTGGGTTGCACATTCTGCAGACTGTGGACCCTTAAATCTGCATTCCATGCTCTCTGCTTGGATTGCAGAGGACCTTCACCCACCTTAAACTGCCATTTTCAGACATCTTCCTGTTTTCTGCTGGGCTTTTTGTTCTCACTGGCTGGCAGAAGCTCTTGGTGTCTTTGCAGGGACCTCAGGGAAGTCAGGTGCTTGTTACCTGCAGTAGTTCTTGTCCTAAAGAGCCTCGTGGATGGATCCCTACCTATGCTGAAAGGAGTGCTGCATCACTGCCCGCAGGGGATAGTGAGGGCCTGCTAGCCCGTGGCACTGGACTGAAACCTGACCTTGTTTCCTACGTGCCTCTGCTTACAGATACCCTGTTTAATAAGTAACAGATAGCAACCCTTGCTTCTGCTGGACTGGGCGTGCTGCCACTCACACCTGGAGCGTAGCTGATACATCTCTTTCTTCTGTAAGAATATGGCAGCCTAAGAGACAGGAAATAGCATACAACACTGTGCTACTTCCTCTATGACCAACAGAAGCAAGAAAAGGTACTACAGATGAGCAGGGACAAGCAGCAAAAATCTACATGCTCAGACTAGTATGATCCTGAATGACTTAAAAACATGATAATATTGATTTGGATAATACAAACACGTTTTGGGAGTTTGCAGAGTCAGGACCTGTGAATATGTGTCTTACAGGCCAGACCTCCCTCCCAGCAGGTCCGTCCTTCATAGTCCTGAAGGCTAGAAGCCCTTCTCTGTAACCTGTGTAGGGGGCCATGATGTTTCTTCTCCAGCCATGTGTGAGTGATCACACTTCCCTTGGCTGAGGGCCCAGGGGTCATCCTGCTGGTCATTTCATGTTCCTGTTTATGGGTGAACATAAATAACCACACACACTTTTATCTTAGAGCTGACAGGTTGGATCTGGGGTGGTGGCACCAGCCATCCAGTGACCTAGTGCTGTCAAAGGACAGCTTGTCCCCACAAAAGGATAGCTAGGCCAGTACTGTAGAACCAATCCAGACCTGAGCAGCTTAAAGTGACTGCCTCCCCATGGAAAAAATATAAAGCTACTTATTATAAAATTTGGTATGTATTTTTTCAGAGTTAGAGATTGTGGTGGTTTGAATGAAAATGAAAATTTTTCAGAGTTAGAGATTGTGGTGGTTGACCCCCATAGGCTCATAGGGAGTGGCACTATTTGGAGGTGTGAGCTTGTTGAAGTGTGTCACTGGGGATTGGGCTTTGAGGTTTCAGAAGCGGGGTCTAGTGGCTCACGTGCTCTTCTTGCTGCCCGTGGATCCAGATGTAACTCTTAGCTACCTCTCCATCACCAGGTCTGCTCAACTGCCACCATGCTTGCTTCCATGATGGCAATGGTAAAACCTCTGATCTGTAAGCCATCCCCAGTTAAATGTTTTCCTTCATAAGGGTTGCTGTGGCCGACCTGAGTTCAAGGCCATCCTCTTCATGAATGCTAAGGGGCCCACCAGGTAGTCAAGGATCTGGATCGGAGGTGACACCTTGGGCCTGCTCTTATGTCACATCTTCTGCTAGCTCCCTGTGAAAGCATACTGTTAGATCTGAGACCCACTGGATAATCTAAGATAATCTCACATCTCAAGATCCTAATGCAATTAGAATGCAAATCCCCTTCCCTACATGCAATAAAGACTGCTTGTTCTGAAACTCTGACGGTGAAGTCAGCCTTGCTCCCTCCTTTAGGGCCTGCACTGCTATTGACTCCCTGGACACATTCGTCCTTATGTCCCCATAAGACGCTTCTACCATCATGGCTTTCTGCAGACCCAATTCATAAGATTTACACAGCTTTTATACCCTACTTTTCGTTCTTTCTGGCTCCTCTGCATTTGTCTGGGGATCGCTGTCTTTCTGCTTGAAGAAGAACAAGAAGAAATATTTCCATGGTAAGAAATGGGCGGCAACGGTTGTTCTCACAATTTCTCTAAAATGTTTCTAATCAGCCTCTACTTTTCAAAATATCTGTGACATATAGATCTATTTCTTATTGTGTTGTGTAGGCTGGCCTTACACTCCTAGGCTCAAGCAAGCCTTTGGCTTCAACCTCCCGAGTGTCTGAGAATCAAAGCCTATAACACCCAACTGGAAATGTTTTTTTTTTTTTGTTTTATTTTTTGCTAAATTTAGAATTTTAAGTTACCAGTTGCTTATATGCTATTCATTTATTTGTTTGTTTATTTATGTATTTGTTTATTTTTGTCAATGTAACACAAGCTAGGGTCTTCTGGGAAGAAGGACCCTCAATTGGGAAAATGGCCTTCACCAAATTGGTATGTAGGCAAGTCTGTGGGGGCATTCTGTTAATTAGTGACTGATGTGGGAGGGCCCAACCACTGTGAGTGAGGCACCCCTGGGCAGGTGCCTATGTGGAGCAAGCCAGTAGCAGCTTTCTATTACCATTCCTGCTTTAGTTCCTGCTCCCAGGTTCCTGCCTTTTCACTCCCTTCAGTGGTGGACTGTGATTGGGAAGTGTAGGTCAAATAAACCCTTTCCTTCCACGTCGCTTCTGTTCAGCTTTATCACAGCAAAAGAAAGCAAGCTAAGATGCTTACTTTCAGGACTTAGAAAGCTTGTTTCCAGCCTTCAGGTCCAGTACCTGTGCTGAACGTCACTGTTCACGTTATCGTTTGGCTTTTTGAAGGCAACGGGTCACTTCCACTTGGCTGCTTCCAGGATCACTTTGCTGCTTCCTTTTGCCTTTTTCCTCTTAGTCTTTACAGTTCACATTACAATTTTGTTTCCAGGGCTGGGAATTTGCACACGGCCTGCACATACGAGGCAAGAGCTGCACCTCTCAACTATATACCCAGTTCTTGACTTTTTGAGACAAGGTCTTCTTATGTAGCCTAGGCTGTCTTAAAATGTGATTCTCCTGCTCCAGGCTCCCGAGTGTTAAGATTACAAACACGCACCACCATGGGCTCTTTATAGTGTTTTTTATTTTTTATTTTTTGAGATTTATTTTTATTTTATGTGTATGGGCATTTTGCCTGCATGTCTGTCTGTGCACCAGGTGTGTGCAGGGCCTGTGGAGGCCAAAAGAGGCTTTGGATCCCCTGGAACTGGACTTACAGATAGTTGCAAGCGACTACATGGGTGCTGGGTTTTGAACCCAGGTACCCTGGAAGAGCAGTCAGTGCTTTTAAGTGAAGAGATATCTCTCCAGTCCATACAGTGATTTTTTTAAAATCTGATAGCTTGATTCTCTCTCTCTCTCTCTCTCTCTCTCTCTCTCTCTCTCTTTCTGTATGTGTGTGTGTTCACATTCATAAGAGATCAACAATGAGTGTCTTCTTCAATTGGTCTCCATCTTTGTGTTTTTAAAAAACGTTTTATTTATTTGTGTATATATGTATAGGAGCACTTGAGTGCCATAGCAAACACATGGAGGTCAGAAGACAACTTCCGTTCTCTTCTTCTGCCATGTCGATTCCAGAGACTGAGCTCATGTCATCAGGCAGCAAATCTCACAATTTCTGCCTGCTTTTTGAGACAAATGAGAGCTCTCAAATTCTGCTAGGTGAGCTAGCCAGCAAACCCAGAATCCTCTCCACCTCCACAGTACTGGGATTATTAGCAGGTGCCACTGTTAAAGTATCTTTTATTTGCCTGAAGTAAGTCTTGTCTTGGAGGCTTACCGTCTCTGTCTGCTAACCTAGGCATAGTGCTGGAAACTCCTAGCCTCCATAAAAGCTAATCTAGGCCTAGAATGTTTTCAGCCTTTGAGACGTACTGCTGAATAATCTCACCCTCTTCTAGTTCTTTCTGAACTCTGGCTGGCTGGCTCAAGTCAGCTTTTCTGGCCCAAACTTCTCTCCAAGCTGACTGATTCAAACTGGTTTCTCTCACTCCTGATTGAATTGCTCTGCTTTGCCTCAAGCTAACTCTAGCAATCTGCTGCTTCTATCCGCTACCTGCTATTTGCTATTTTACTTTTGCTTGCCACAAACTTAATAAACTTACTCACTCAAGACCAAAAGTACAGGTTCCATACATTATTCTTCACAGAGAACAGGACACCCTACCAGGTAGTATGCAGCTACTGTATACGGACACCGAACTTTGTGTTTCAGTCACCGCAGAAATGCCATACGGACGCCTGACTTTCTGATCCTTGCATGGGGTTATGACAAAAGAGCTTTCACTTCTTCACCTAGAAACCTTCCCTTTACCAGCTATCCTGACGATCTAAGATTTAAAGTTCCCAACCTAAGGAACTGTCAATACTAGCTGGTTGGTTCTAAGGAAGGGCTCCTACTTACTGTTGGTGTCAGGGGAAGCTTGTGTGAAAAGGGGGTTTTTCATGGGGTTGTGAAACTTGATTGCTTCTATTGTTGAAGGAACCCCGGAGGTTAAAAGCACGTGCTACCAAGATGCCAGTTAATTCTGGTCCATTGTTGCTCAAATCCTACTTAGGATGTGTGCACAACTCAAATCTTAAAAGACTTGCACTACTGACCCTGCCTTTCCAGATATCCAGGATTGACCTTTGGCTGTCCACTGGAAGTGGCCCCTTGGCTTCTGCGGCGTCTCCCACCACGCCTGGCAGCAGCCCATTTCGGAAAAGGCATAGATCTGCTTGACTTTGCCGCCAAATCCAATCCTTGGCGCAGTCCGGCAGCGCCATCTTCTGGTACAGATCTCCACCTTCACCCCTCATGACACTCAATAATGCCTGATTTGCTTTTCAGACCATTTGCAGGCCTCCAAAGAGATTTTTCTGGGCCCCGCCAAGAATAATAGATGCGCTGAGACACCCAAGGCCAGTGTTCTCCAAGCACCGAGCGCCAGAGACGCAGCAGCCAGGGCGGAACTCTCCAGGAAGAGGCGGCGCGTTCTGGGTTCCATCCTGCCCCAGCCTGGTGAGTGGTCACGGTCACGTGGGGCGCTATCCGGAGACGGAACCATTGCGACCGACACCTAAAGGCTTGCCGATCGGGAGCGCCCAGATACCCTAGCTATGCGCCCCCCGTGTCCCACCTTCGCTACCCTGACGTTTCTAGCTGCGGTCCTGGCCGCGCCACTGTCGCAGGCTGAGACTCCGTACCTGGTGCGTGTGGACGCGGCCCGCCCTCTCAGGCCTCTGCTGCCCTTCTGGAGGAGCACCGGCTTCTGGTGAGGCCCATCTCATGCTCTTGCCAAGACCCGGAGCACCCCTGCTCTATCCTCTGAGTTCTTCTCATCACACCTTTGGGCGCTCTGCCCTTCGTTCCTGGACACTCAGAAGTGAAGACCAAATTCCTTCAGGGCCCACTCTCTTCCCAGGCTAGTACATTTCTGGAGTGTGGCGGAGGTTTCCTACCTTAATGAGACCCTGGAGTGTCAGAGCCTCCCTAAGTGGCCCCTGGGGATCAAAAGCATGGTACTCAGGCTATAGGTTCATGATCGGTACTTCAGCGGAACCCGGGAGTCTCCCCAAGTACCAAGACCTGACCCGGTTTCTGAGTGCCTCCAAGTCTCTCTAGGAATGTTCAGATCCTCTTCTGTGGCAGGCAGGTGTCCTATTAGGATAAGGTACAGTGTCCTGTCCCTCCCCGGAGACAAGACTGTAGAACATTCTGGTGAAAGGCTACTTTATCATATACTGCGGAGACATACACTGTTCATGTGCAAGGATCATGTGATATGATCGTGAACATACATGTTCATGTGCACGTGTGGAGTCTACTCTGCTGCAGGCCCCTGCAAACATGTCACTTCTTCGTCCTGTCCCCAGCCCCCCACTGCCTCACGACCACGCTGACCAGTACGACCTTGGCTGGGACCAGCAACTGAACCTTGCCTACATAGGCGCCGTCCCTCACAGCGGCATTGAACAGGTCCGGGTACACTGGCTGCTGGACCTCGTCACAGCCAGGTGGGTGATAAGCTGGGCGCCCTGGGAGCTGCTGGGCAGAGCCTGACCTTCAGAGGTGCTGGGGTGGCCTTTGCTTGGCCTTTGTCGGGCCGGCTGTGGAGCACAGTGCTGGGCTCTGGGTGGGGGAGCATCATGGTAGGGCACAGGGCTGGAGCTGTGTACTTCCTGTTAGAGGATCCTGTAGGGCAGAGGAGGAGGGGAATGTCTGCTTGGCTGTACCAGGGGCAGCCCCCGGAGGAAGCACATGTGATTTCCTCCTGAGGTTTTCTTAGAGGTACAGAATGGGGTTGGGTCTGCTGTGCCTGGCTTTGGACGTGCATGTGCCACACTGGTCACTAGTATAAGCTGTACAGAGACGTTGTGTGTGGAGGTCAGGTTGGGGTTACACACTGGACCGTCTGCTCTGGAACAGGGCAGCTCATTCCTGGTACCTGGGGGTGCAGGGGGTGGGAAAGGGTCCTTTTGGCGTCTTGGAGGACACACAGTTTGCAGGACTGTTTCGGAAGGGCGACCCCTAGAATATCAAACTGCAGTGCCTCAGCTGAGGAACCCTTGGTGCCCTGCAGCTACCCGAGTTGAGTAGGCACCAGGGGGCAGCAGTGGTCTCAGAGGTAGAGGGTCTCACTCACACAATGTTTGGAATCCTTTCCTAATTGGAATTCCCTGCCTTCTCCAGGGCATAGGTGGTCCAAGGGTGTATCTCTAATGACTTTATCCTTCATATCACTCCTACAAAGGAGCTCAGTACTGGCTGTGGGCATGGTCTTGGCTCTTGAGGAAGTGGGCCCTGCTAAAAGGCAGAATCCACAGCCAGCAGCTCCTCACGGCGCGCTTGCGCGGCCTCCACAGCACTGTGCACGCTGGGGAACAGTAGTTCATCTTCAGCGCCCTGGTCTTCTCCAAGGAAGCCCCCCTTCCTCAGCGTGTCTCTCACTGAGGGACTGCAGCAAGCAAGCAGCAGGGTGATATCCAGGGCCCTGCAGTCTCTGCGCAGGTCCTTCAGGGTGCCCATGCCAGCCACATCCAGGAACAGCAGTGGCGCACAGTCAATGACCACTGTGTGGAACCCAAACGCCAGGGGCAGCACCAGCCCAGCCCCGCTGCTCACTGAACCCGGATCCTTGCCATCGGCAAGATTTCCGACACCCATCTCCGGTCCCTGGTCCTTTCTGGTGGCCGAGTGCCCTGCATCCAGCCCTGTTAGGCGGTAGAGCGACCGCAGGAAGAAGTCCTTGTTGGCATAGTAGAGTGGACCTGTGAAACGGAACACTCGCACCTCGGGCGGGGGCAGGAGGCCCTCAAACTCAGCCGCATCCTCGTAGAAGGCTGAGTCTCCAATGCGAGCAAGAAGGGCAGCCCGTGGCCGCTGCGTGCGGCCCGCCAGGCTGAGCAGGGAGAAGAACACTCCAGCTAGCAGTCCAGCCTCGGTGCTGACCAGCACGCAGGTGGCCGCGGTGGCCACCCAGACCAGTGCGTCAGCAGGGCTCAGGCGCCAGAGCTGCGGGAGGTCCTTCACCTTGCGTAGCGCCCCCCGCAGGCTGACAACGATGATACAGGCTAGCACACATCGCTGCAGATCGTGAAAGAGCGGAGCCAGCACCAGCAGCACCAGCAACACCACAGCAGCACTGACCACGCTGGACAGCTGGGTCTGGCAGCCGGTGGCTATCTTCACCAGGGTTTTAGACAGGGCAGCACTGGTAGCAAAACAGTGGAAGAAAGCAGGCAGCACATTGCAGCAGCCCACAGCCAGCAACTCTTGGTTGGCACGGACAGAGTAGCCATGGTTACGGGCAAACATTTCTGCCAAGGAAATAGAGAAGGCTGAGCCCACAAGGGCCAGGGACATGGCATCCAGGGCCACACGCCACATTATCTTAGGGTCCGGTACCTGTGGGGCCACAAAACCAGTGGGAATGTTGCCAGCCACACTTGAGCTGAACCGCGTATGGAGCTGTCCAAAGTGGGACACAGTTGTGGCCACCACAATGACTAAGAGCTCTGTGGGTACTGGCACCTTCAGGGAATGCCGGTAGCGGTCTGAGAGCTCCTTAGCTGCCAGCAGAACTCCTAGGCACACAGCACTGGTGATGACGTCACACACGTTGGCCTGTCCCACACTCTGCAGCAGGCTCAGCCACGTGTGGACCACCATGCCTGGGCCCTGGTGCCGAGGGATCCGCACGCCCAGCAGGTGTTTGGCCTGAGATGTCAAGATGGTCACGGAGGCTCCCATAGCAAAGCCGTCGAGCAGTGGTTGTGAGAGGTAGGTAGACACGAAGCCCAACCGGAGGACACCCATGAGGACCTGTAGATGGAGTACAGTTAGTTTGGAAGGCTGTGAGGCAGGAGCCAGCATCAGTATAAACCAGAGGGTGTGGAGGCCACGGCACAGAGCCTGTATCCACACGGGAGTACTCCCCCAAACGGACTCCTGTTGTTTTCCACATGCATAACGGGCCAGAAGACACAGGGACATAACACATGGATGTTGTCGTTGTCTGTGGATGCTCACTTCCCACACCCTCACACAGGCAAAAATTGGTTTTGTTTCAGAATAAGAGCTGCTGGCCCCAGGAGGCAGCCCCTTCCCTGTCTTACATGTCTCACATGCAATACACAGACTCTGCCACCAGGTCTCTCCCGGACTGCCATGGAGCAGACAGGAGGAAGAGAAAAGCCAGGGTCAGCAGAAAAGAGCAAGGGGTTGAACACCAGGGGAATGCACTGCTGCCCCAGGTCCTTCCTGGGTCAGGAAGCCAAAGACTGCTGGGGTTGCAGTCTAGCTCCCCCTAGCCATGGCCACATTTGCCCGATGGCCCTCCTCAGACCGCAGCTGGTCAGGCCAGTCCCACACATCCCTCTACTCTGTGCCTTCAGCCCCTCCTGTACCTAGGTCTGGGCTCTACCTCTGTCCTGGCTGTGCTGTTTTCTCTCTGAGCCTGAAGGATGCTTCCTCCACATGCTTTCAGGCCTTCCCTTCAGGTGCTCTAATCTACTGAGCCATCTAGCCAGCTTGCTGTACAGCTAACTCCTTACCTGATAAAGCCCGACCATCAGAGTGAGTGCCGTGGCAATTCGAATGGCATAGCAGTCCCGTCCACAATCCTGTAGCCCAAGCATCAGTGTAGCTGAGTTGTTGAGGGTGCTACCATTGTTCTTGGGCCCCTGAGAATCGTGGGAGGGGTCAAAGCCAGCCAATTGGAGTTCTCGGTCCACTACCTGACCCACCATGAGACACAGCAGGCTGAAGATGCCCACATTAACGTGGCGTGAGGTGCCCATGAGAAAGTAGATAAGGTTGGCAAAGAAGGAAGTATAGAGACTATAGATGGGCTGCAACCCAGCCAGCAGTGAGTAGGCTATGGCCTGCGGCACCAGGATAATGCCAATGACTAATCCAGACATCACATCACCTGCCAGGTGCTCCTTAGGGCGGTACTGGCGCAGCCAGCGTAAGGCAGGAAACAGATCCTGCACCAGAGCCTGAGCACAGGGCACACTGCAGGTGCAGCTCCGCTTCAGTCTGGCCGTCAGCATTTCCGGCAGGCCCTGGGACACAGGGGGCTGCCGTCGCACTAGCACCAGTGTCCCACCCTTCTGGTGGGGCTCAGGAGAAGCATCCATCCTGCCACACCAGGCTCTTCGTCCAACCTGCAAGGGGGAATGGGCATGGTTAGGGGTCTAGGCTCTCGGAGCCCAGGAGCCGCCTCACAGTGAGTGTCCGCTCAAACAGACATCAGACCTCAAAGGCTGTCCTGTCAAGAGGTTGTTTTTCTGTGTGGATTAATATAAGGCCTTGACGTCCAAAATACTAATTTTGTGGTGAGAGGTGCTTAGGACAGCAACATGCTTTAGGAGCCATTCTATCCAGCCTTAGCCCAGCGGCGCTCTGTAGTCTACTTAATTCAGCCCCTATGTGAAAGTCCGTCTAAAGCATTCTGAAGGTCACTCACCCAAGGCAGGGGCTAGGCTAGGCCTCCACCAGCCCACATAGTCCAAGCCACAGTGACAATAGAGGCAGATACATGTTTACTGAGCTTGAGCTCCGGCCACTTCCCATCCACCTGGTCTGGCAAGGGGTTCTGCCAGTTACCCCCTTCCACACAAGTTCTCGCAAGCCATCGCCTATTATCCTCTGAACAGCATTGGTCTAGAGGTTGGCAGAAGGCCTTGCACATTGTGTGTGCTGGGCTTCTGGTCTGTGACAGCCTTCCCCATGAGTTTAGAGGGTGTCTCACTAGGCACCAGCGTGCCCCTTACTCCAAGTGCTGAGCCTCTTCCTAAAGGCTCAAGAACATTGAACAAGCACACTGCTCCACAGATGTCCACCTTTGGCCTGGCTGGCCTGGCCCCTTCTGACCTTGCCTTAGTACTAAGGAGTTCTCAGGCCATGCCGACCACGTGGTGGCCTTGGTCCTGTGTACAGGTTCCAAAGTGCTTGTTTGTAATATTAGTCAAACACTCTCTGTTCTCAGTGGAACCCAGGACATGGTGGTGACTGGTGGAGCCCACTGTGTCTGGCGTGGGTACTGGAACAGCAGCTCTGGTAGGGTGGTGGCCTATTAGGCATCCTAGCTCGTGAGGGACATTATGAGACAAAAGATACACAAGAGTCATCGAACACTCCGAGGCTTACCCCGAGTCTCTAGGGGCTCAGGTGTGTGGCGGAAGGACTATAAGTAGCACTTGGCTTGTACCTGAACAAGTCCCAGAGAAAGGGCAGTCTAGGTTCCTACCTGCCCAGCTAAGCCACACCTTCTGGGGTGTTGTATGGGTACAGGGGCAGTTCTTACCTGGGCACCTGGCCGGCTCTGTTGGCTTTGCAGTGTCTGGGGCCTGCAGCTTGCTGGTGGGCTGAGCCTGGCTCCTGTTGACAGGCAGAGAGCAGGTTAGCAGGCGCCTCTGAGGCTGACCTGTGGGGAATACATGGCTGGGCTCACTGTTAAATTATTTACCCTAAAGATAGCTGAGTCATGGGTTTTCCCGTCAAATGAGTGTTACCTGAGTGGCTAATCCGGTGAGCTAATCCGGCAGGTTGTACTATAATCAGAGGCTCACAAATAATTATAGTTATGTGGGCCTCTGATAAACTCCCCTCTGCAGAGGGGAGGGTGCCGGGTGCAACAGCTTCTGTCCTGTTAGGAGGAAGAGAAGGTAGGGACAGGAGTGGCTGAGGCTGAGGCTTGAGCATGAGGCCCCAGAGGAGTGAGTGAAAATGCTTTAGCTCTGAGCTTCTGGGGGCAAAGACAGCTGACTCCACCTACCCAGATGCTGGTTATCTTTTCTTCACGTTCCTGGAGCCTGTTCTTGCTGGAGAAAGCGGAAGCTCGGTCTCTCCATGTTCCTGTGTGCAGCGGTGCACACGGTTACTGTTGTGTGTGAGCACATGCCTGTGTTGTGCACAGCCCAAGGACTACCAGCATAAGTGTGCTCTTCCCTTGGAGGCAGGGATCCTGGGTTGGCCTTGTTCCAGCCCCTCTTCTTTTTCACTCCTCCGGTCAGGCACTTGGTCCCCATGCACCTCTGCAGGACACGGGACTTTCCTTGTCAGGCTAGCCTAAAGCTAAGAGGCCCTTTAACGTTAGCGTAAATAATCAGTGTCTTGGGTCTGCCTGGAAGTTCTGTAAGGCTGGTCAGAATCTCAGATTCACATCTTGTAGTGAGCAATGAGTTTCTCACATTGTGCTTAAAGAATAAGTAGTAGTTTTGTGTAGTGGACCTTGCTGTCTTCTGTGGGCTTCTGTATTCTGGGTGCCCTCTCATTGTGGAGGTATTCCCTTCATCATGGGTGGAAGGCCCAGCTAGTCTGTTCTGCTGTCTCCACAGGCCCAAGCACTTGGGACTGGGCAAAGTGAAACTGTATGTTTTTTTCCTCCTATTCCTAAGGGTCTTGAGAAGGGCCTTAGGATCAACAGTTGTCTTACAGAACCAGCTGGGACCTGAGACTCCAATCCCCCAGGTCAGGGATAGTAAGAATGCAGAGTCCCTTCCATTTCACAGGTTAGTCACTTCTTTGGCACATCTACAAGCCTTGCCAAGTTCCTGGGAGCCATAGGCCTGGCCAAAACCCCACTTATAGGTGATTAGGGAATAAATGGGTGGAGCGGCCAGAGTGGGAAAGCTGGCTGTGAGACTGGGCAGGGCTGGCTTTTCTGTGGCAAGGTAGTCCTCCACCTGTGGGCTAGGTAGTCCTCCACCTTTGCTCTGAGGCTCCAAGTCAGTCTGCTGTTCTTGGAAGAACCTATTTAGGATCCCAGGGTCTTCACTTGTTCTGCCCTCCCTCTGTAAGGCTGGACCTCCTCTTTCCTTAACAACAAGCCCTGAGCCACTTGTTTGTACAGCAGTTGGGAAAGGTGGCTTACAGGAGCAGTTACCCAGTGGGTGTGGTGGGGCCAGTCAGAGCAGCTCCTCCTGTGTCAGATAAAGGCTGGGATAGGGCTAGCTACCGAGGGTGTCATAAAATGATAACCTACCCAGTTACCCACATCGGGGCCTCTGGGGGATGGACTGTTGCTACATCTTTGAGAAGGGCAGAGCTGAAGTTGTGGAAAGAACGCCCCTGCAGACATGGAGGAGTTGGGCTGTAGGAGAGGGTGGGAGTATTCACCTTCCCTCCAAAGCAGGGAAAACAGTGTAGGAATGGTTCCTTGTCTCTCCACTGCCCTAGGTGTGGGGGGGATTGGGCCTTACATCAGACCCCCTCCTGATCAGTGTCCACTGCAAATTGAAATGCAGATGAAGTCATATCTTCCGTGATTTGCCGTTAAGTGCCCTGCTCCACTCATTCCTCTGCCTCTACAGCTCTGCGCACTCGGGGTGGTGCGGCAATGGGTATGACCTGGCCCACTCCCCCACCCCAGTGCACCATGAGCTGCAGCTCCTTGGCTTGCTGCTGGGCACACAGTCAGGGTTATGAGGCCCACAGGTCTATTTGGTCCTACGCGGCTCAGTGATTTCCTTCTTTTAACTCTGATTCCACCATTTAAATCTTGAATGTATTTATTTGGGCAGAAAACATCACACCCTGTGCAACGGTGGAAAATGGTGGGCAGGTCGGGCTCCAGGACCAGAATTTCTACGCCTTCCCAGGGCTTCATCAGGCTCTCGGGGAGCTCCCGGAGCTCCCGAGCCTTTCCGCGCTCCACGCACCACCCCCTTCCCGCTTGGCATCCCACATAGTTGGCGTCCACAGACCGCGTTCTCTTCGCCCCTCCCAAGCCTGCGTGCACCAGCCACGGTGCTGCGGCCTGCCGCCGGGGACCGCAGCATTCAGCGCCCTCCCCGCTAGCTCCCCGCCCCCGGATCGCTCACCCCGGCACTCACCAGCCGCTGTGGCCTCACCCTCTAGGCGCATGCACTCCACCTCTAGCAGGAGCAATGCGGGTTGCAGTCAAAGGGCCTTTGTGTGGCCTTGGATGGGCTGTGCCTAGTCTGCCTGCCCCAGCTGGGCTATGGCTCAGGCCACCCTGCAAGGAATGGCAGACTTCCCCACCCTTCGCCTGGATGACTCGCCCCTCCCCAGATTAAGATTCCTTAACAACACCACTCTTCCTGGCAGCAGAAAGGGACTAACTGTGAGGACAAAGGACTGCTCCCTACGTTTCCTGGGCATGAGAGGCCCCAGGAGGTACGGCCTGGCATCAGGAGGCTGTGGGGTCAGAGGACACTCTGACCATACAGGGTCGCAGTCTTGAGACATCACTGATGTGAAAGACTGGCCCAGAATTTGGATAGCCCTGTTGCTGAGGCTTGCTACCATGAAGTGTGTACTCTGCCTTACGTGTGAAGACAGGGAGCTGATCACAGCTTCTGCCCCCTACAACTTGGGACTTTGGAACATCATTTAATCTTTATCCAAATGCTTGTTAGGTTTTATTTATTTGCAGATGGTTTTGACCATTGAGTGGGAAGGGAAAGAGCCAAGCAGGTCTGTTTTGCAGCTCTGGGCAGAGGCTCCAGTCCAAAAGTACAGAGGGCAGGCTGGGAGAAGCAGGACCTGGACTGGGGCAGTAGCCAGTGTGGGCATGTCCAGTGAGGGAAATGCGCCGCTGCCGCGTGTACAGGCGGTTCTACCGCCCACAGTGGAGGCCGTCTCTGCCGTCCCACTCCAGGCACACGAGCTGCCGTAGGTGTCTTCTGGGGCAACTTGTCTCCATAGGACTGACCCTTCAAGTGGCCTCAGCTGCACATTCAGCCCTCCGCTCGCTCTTTACCTCTTCCCCAGAATTGTAAGCCAGAGAGAGAGAGCTCCATGCATCAGTGTCCTGAAATCCATGCAATTGCCCTGGACATCGGCCTGCACTCCCCTTAGATCTGGCAGTAGACACTGTCCTGGCAATTCTTCCTTCATGCCCACTGCAGTCTCTGCTTTCACCTCAACTAGCCACCACCAGGATCTTTGAAGACCATAGTGGCTTTGCTTTGATCAATACCTTGTAAGGCCTCCTATTTTGCTCTGAGTCAGTGTTGCATCCTCATGTGATCAAAACCTCCATTCCCAGCTCTGTACCTTTGTTCTGCTTCAGGCCAGCTAGCTGCTGTTGTACTGCCCCCATTTAAGAGCCTTTTTACTTGCTTTTTTCCCAGATATTCTCACCACTGGCCCATGCCACCACTTGGCGGATCTTTGAAGTTCCCTCTGTAGAGTGGTTTCCTCTCCCTGATCGTCTTCCCCTTCACTCTGACATTTCCCCTTTGCCAAACTTGGGATGTTTTAATAAAGGTCCAGGAAGTTTTCTGATGACTCTTTCACTCTCTGAAACTGAGCTCCCTGGAAAATGGCCCGGTGGGGAACAGAGAAAGCCCTCCATCTTCTTTCCTTGCCCATCCATGTTGTTTCTCAGTATGGATCAAGGGAAGGCAACTGTTGGGTCAAATCTGAAGTTTGAGTTTCTAATCGAGTTCTGCCTGGCTTCAGTCCCTTACCTCTGCTCCCATGTCAGCTGTCTTTAAGATGTCTCATCGCCTATCTTGTATCTCCTAAAAGAGGTGCCTATCCCTTCCACCTCAGCGTGGTGAATGACCTGAGCCCCCGAATTTCTTCAAGGTTTCATGTACACACATACTTATTCACATTCTACTTTGAGTGTCAGAAGCTTCCATAGTCCCAGGTTTTCAGTGTCTCTAAGGCTTAGTGTAGGGTTCTATGTACACATACTTGTACATACTCATCTGTGACAGACTTTCACTGGGCTAGTCTTTTTCAAAGGGAAATCCCATCTGGAAGCCTGGATCTCCCTGGGAACTTGGGGGCCCCACATGCTTGAATGTGGCCCTAGTTCCAAACCAGGGTGTGGAGAAATAAAATACTGCTGCTCTCCAGTACTGACCTTTCCCCTAACAGGAAGTCATCTGGGCAGGGACTGCTATACAACTTCACCCACTTGGATGCATTCCTGGACCTCCTCATGGAGAACCAACTCCTCCCGGGTGAGCGGTGGCCCTGCTTTCTCCCAGCACCTGCCATTCTGCGTCGGGGTGGGGGGCGGCATCTCGGCATTGGCTGAGGCACTGGGGAGGTACAGCCCAGCTGGGCTGGGCGCGATGTGCAGTGGGCAACTGCCTTTGTGTGTTTCAGGATTTGAGCTCATGGGCAGCCCTTCTGGCTACTTCACAGACTTCGAGGACAAGCAGCAGGTGTTTGAATGGAAGGACCTGGTTTCTCTCTTGGCCAGCAGATATATCGGTGCATTGAAGGGGGAAATCCTAGGGTCTGAAGTGAGCTGTCTTGGGGAGGTCCTATTCCCTTATCATCCAGGCGACCTTGTGGTCTTCTCTGCCCTAGACATCCATATACCCTAGGCAGAGATGCCTGATGGGTGAGGGAGTCACTTGATGGGGGTGGGGTACTTGTCTGGAGCCAGATAATCCCTATCAAGTGGAACCCACTCATGGCCCATCCCTGGGAGACACCGGGAAGGCGACTCATCATTCCTCACCCAGGGTATAACAGCAGACACTCTGCAGGTAGGTACGGCCTGACACATGTTTCCAAGTGGAACTTTGAGACTTGGAATGAACCAGACCACCATGACTTTGACAACGTGTCCATGACCACACAAGGTGGGCAGCATTTTTTCAGAGCCTGTTGGGTGGGCTGTATGAGAGAGAGGCCCAACAACTCTAGACCCTCAAGACCCTCTTGCCCTAGGCTTCCTGAATTACTATGATGCCTGCTCTGAGGGCCTGCGCACTGCCAGCCCCACTTTGAGGTTGGGTGGCCCTGGGGATTCCTTCCACCCTCTGCCAAGGTCACCACTGTGCTGGAGCCTCCTGGGTCACTGTGCCAATGGAACCAACTTCTTCACCGGTGAGGTGGGCGTACGTCTGGATTACATCTCCCTGCACAAGAAGGTGTGTGGCACCCCCGGCCCTCCCAGCCTCCTTTGAGCCACCTCCTTTGTGCTGAGTTATGTGCTGGCTGCAGGGTGCAGGCAGCTCCATCACCATCTTGGAGCAGGAGGTGGCAGTTGTGGAGCAGATCCAGCAGCTCTTCCCTGAGTTCAAGGACACCCCTATCTACAATGATGAGGCAGACCCCCTGGTGGGCTGGTCCCTGCCGCAGCCTTGGAGAGCTGATGTGACTTACGCAGCGCTGGTGGTGAAGGTGGGCCCTTGCCATCTAGCTTCATCCAGCCGGAGGAAGTCTTCCCCTGGGGTGGGGGCAGGGACAGTTCAGTGGCCAGTGGTACAGGTCCTAGCTGCCCTGCTGTCCACAGGTCATTGCGCAGCACCAGAACCTGCTCTTTGCGAATGGCAGCTCCTCCATGCGCTATGTGCTCCTGAGCAATGACAATGCCTTCTTGAGTTACCATCCGCACCCTTTCTCCCAGCGCACGCTGACGGCCCGCTTCCAGGTCAACAATACTCACCCACCCCACGTGCAGTTACTGCGCAAGCCAGTCCTCACAGCGATGGGGTTGATGGCCCTGCTGGGTGAGTAATGGCCTCATTTCTGCATGTGCTGGGTCAGAGTGGAAATGCCGTGCTGGCCCAGCATGCCCTGGGTTGGGTGAAGATCAGAACAGAAGGACCTGGGTCGTGGGAATATAGTACATGCTGGGCAGGGACACGCTTACCTCCACCAACTGCTGCGTAGTTTCTTAGGCTTGTTTCCCGCCTTTCCACATCCTTTCCTCCTCCTATTCTGTTGGTTGAAGTACATGACAGGATCTCCCAGTACAAATGGTGGGAGCCAAGCATTAAGGGTAGGAAGCCAGGTACTGGGTATGAGGGAGCCAACAGGGCCAGTCCTTTGCCTGCCTGTAGATGGAGAGCAACTCTGGGCTGAGGTGTCACAGGCTGGCGCTGTGTTGGACAGCAACCACACCGTGGGTGTCCTGGCCAGCACCCATCATGCTGCCGGCTCCCCCGAGGCCTGGAGTAGCACAGTTCTGATCTATGCTAGTGATGACACCCGCGCACATCCCAACCGCAGTGTCCCCGTGACTCTTCGCCTGCGTGGGGTGCCGCCTGGCTTGGGTGAGTGGGCTTCCAAAGGAAGGTGGGAGCCCAGCAGCGGCAGGCCCAGGAGGCAAACCGTGACATCTGGCTTCGCAGGGCTTGTCTACGTAGTGCGCCGCCTAGACAATCAGCTCTGCAGCCCCTACAGTGAGTGGCTGTACATGGGCCAGCCAGTCTTCCCGTCTGTGGCACAGTTCAGACAGATGCGCATGGTGGAGGTTTGTGGGCAAGGAGGGAGGGAGGGAGAAGGGGTCCCACATGGGGAGGTTGGCCAGCCACATCCCCTCCCTTGTCCCCAGGACCCAGTGGCTGAGGCACCGCGCCCTTTCCCTGCTGGGGGCCACCTGACCCTACACCGGAAGCTTCCATTGCCATCACTCCTGCTGGTGCATGTGTGTGCGCGCCCCTCGAAGCCACCGGGGCAGGCAAGTAGCAGTCCCCAACCCCACCTTTGAGGCTGCCCAGCTCGCCCCTTCACAGCTACTTCCTCCTTACAGGTCAGCCGGCTTCGCACACTGCCCCTGACACGTGGGCAGCTGGTTCTGGTCTGGTCAGATGAGCATGTGGGCTCCAAGTGCGTGAGTGGGGCTGTCCTTCTCTCTGTCGTTACCTGTGTAATCATTCATCCCCCTTCTCCACTGCCATACACGTCTGTGCTCTCTACACACTGCACACACCTCCCAGACCACTTTCGTCTGAGATGGAGATCACCTCCAGTGACAGTCTGCAGTGCTGGCCCCTCACTGTGGCCTGTCACGATTTTGAGAGCACTCGGGGGCCCCACAGATTCCAGGAAGGGGTCTGAAGAGTATGGGGTTGTGGATCCAGCCAATCCCACCCACCCAGACCCTCAGGTTTATCTGCCCCCAGCTTCAGTACTGACCTGTTCCTCCCCAGGTGCCTATGGACATATGAGATCCAGTTCTCCCAGAAGGGGGGAGCATATGTTCCGATCAGCAGGAGGCCGTCTACTTTTAACCTCTTTGTGTATAGCCCAGGTACAACACCTGAAACCTTGATCTTGGCAATTGTACCGCTGGACCTCAGTACAGTATGGTGTGGGGTGGGCCTGGGGTTTTAAGAACTCAAGGAAACACGTGTTTTTGTGTCTGCAGACACAGCTGTGGTCTCTGGCTCCTACCGAGTACGAGCATTGGACTACTGGGCCCGGCCAGGTCCCTTCTCAGACCCCGTGACTTACCTGGATGTCCCTGCCTCATGAGAACCACTGGCTCCTGGTGACTGGTGAGCCTGTGCTGACTGCTGAATGGGGTCAGCCAGGATGAGCTAGGCTGCCATTAGCTAGTCTATTGCCTATTGGCTCCTTTGTTGTTCCCCTAGTTCCTTTTAAAGTATCTTTCTCTGACTTGGGCCTCTGTGGATGAGCACCACTCAGGGCCTAGCTTTAGTGATCTTTGCCCACCTTCCTCCCCTTCCAGCTGGTCAGAAGTTTAAATGTGGGACTGAGAAGATGGCTCAATGTGTCAAAGTGCTTGCTCTGCAGGCAGGAGGACTTGAGCTCAGATGTCTAGCTCATGTAAAGGCTGCGCATAGCAGTATACACCTATAACCCTAGTGGGGCAGGACGGGCAGAGACAGGCCAGACTCAGTGACCGTCTAGTCGACCTAAAACTTCACCTTCCAGCCTCAGTGAGAAACCCAGTTTCAGAAAAATCAAGCAGAGAGCTTGATACACAATATTGACCTTTGATCTACACACACACACACACACACACACACACACACACCACACCACACCACACCACATGCAAACACAGTCTAAATTCAGTTTCTTGAGCTTCTGTAATATCAAAAAGAAAATTATGCACTTCTTACATTACACAGAGTAAACATCTCCATTCCAAAAGGAAAATAAATGGCAAGGAAGAATTTAAGTGAAGCAAGAACAAAACACAACAAGACAAACATAAAATCCTGCAGATCCCTTCCCAGCATTGGGGCATGTGTTATTGTGATATGAGCTCTAATGTACTAGACAGTCTGTCTCTGTGGTACTGCTATTCACAGCCCGTTCCCCACCATGACTTTTCTCCTAGGCTGGTATCTTGGGATTTCTATTGCTGTGATAAAACATGAAGAGCATAAGCAACTTGGGTAGGAAAGGGTTTATTATACTTACATTTCCACATTATAGTCTATCACCGAAGAAAGCCAGGGCAGGAACCTTGAGGCAGGAACAAATGCAGAAGCCATGGAGAAATGCTGCTTATTCAGACTATGTTCTTACACACCCTGGATCACCAGTCAAAGGATGCTGCCACCCACCATGGCCCGGGCCCTCCCGCCTCAATCACTAATTAAGAAAATGCAACACAGGCTTGCCCATAGGTCAATCCTGTTGGGGCATTTTTCTCAACCGAGGTTCCTTCTTCCCAGATGACTCTAGTTTGTAACAAATTGACATAAAACTATTCCAGCCTTGCCATATATTACCTGGTCTCCCAAGTCTTCCTGTGAAATCTGGGTGGAAGCCTACACAGCCCAGTCACTGTAACTCCGGTATTCTGCCTTCAGGTCAGCAGCCTGTGGGTCACACCGTCTGCGGTGAGCTTGAGTGGTGGTGAGGACCGCTGGGCCATACGTGGCTGCAGTAATCATGCAGTACTTGCTTAGCCCCGTCCACTCACGCAGACCATCATGATGACAGCTTGTAGAGGGAGAGGCTGTTTCCCTCAGAGCGAACAGGAAGCAGAGTGAGGACAGAATGAAGCAAAATGCTTCTTCACTGACCTGCTCTGTCCAACTGGGCCCTACTCTGTAAAGTTTCTAGAATCTCCCAAAACAGAACCATTACCTGGAAACTGTTTAACATGTAAACCTTGGGGGGGGGTATAGTTAATATTCAAAATAGGCTGAATATATCGCCTTGTGATATATGGCCATTAGAAGAACCCTCTCTCTTTCAGTACAAGTCCTGGTGTGTCCTTCCAGGTGGCCCACTGGACACATATGTCCTTAATTCATTCTGCACAGTCCCCCTCTCTCCAGAAGTTCACAGAAGCCCAGCATGCAGAAGTCTATGCTGCAACCTAGGCCTACTGCCAAGCTCTTCCCAGTGGGTATTACCTTCTGTCCAGGAAACGAGTCTGAATGGAATGCGCATACATGGGGACGTTCAAATTCAGAGTTTCCCTGGCCTTGTGCCTTTTACAAGTGGGCAGAGCGAATGAAATACAATGACATTCTGTAGTGATTTTTAAAAACATCCCTTTCTGGACCCTAAGCTGGCCTGGAAATCTTGACCTTCCTATGCCACCCTCCCTACTACTACGATTACAGGTGTGTGTGGGGGTGGGTGACTGGAGAGATGGCTCAGTGGTTAAGACCACTGGCTGCTCTTCCAGAGGACCCGGGTTCAATTCCCAGCACCCACATGGCAGCTCACAAGTGTCTGTAATTCCAGGATCCAACACCCTCACACAGACATACATGCAGGCAAAACAGCAATGTGCATAAAATAAAAATAAATATTAAAAAAAAACCCAACTAAACAAACAAAAAAAGATTAAGGTGTGTACCACCATGCCTGCCACTGACCCCTCATTTTAAATAAAATATTACACTTTCCACTGCCATGAGATCACCCACAACACCCTAGAGGACCATGAGCCTTTCAGAGCTTGTCTCTCGCCTCTTGGAAGGATGTCTTACTAAGCCCTCTGGGGCATGTAACTTCTCGTCCACCAAGCTCACTAAGTACGACCAGCAGGTTGCATGAATTTTGGAAGAGTGATGTCGCCAAGGCAAACTTGAGGTGTGCTGGCATCCGTTCCGGGAAAGCAGACTGCTCTTGATGGAACGAAGAGCACTTTCCAGCGGGGAGGTTGGTATGTCAGGCAGCCAGCCCTTGGGTATAGTGGCTGCTGCCATGGCTAGGCTGCAGTGAGCCGCTGCAGTGAGGGTCTAGAGGGAGACCCTCAACCTGCCACTCTGTCCTGGAAACCGGGACGAGGCCTAGGCGGATGATCTTCAGGACAAGCAAATGTCTTCTGACAAATAGTCCGAAACCTCAATGTCCAGTAAGCCACCTACTTTTCAGGTGACAGAACTGCAGCCACACAGACCCATTCTCAAACCAGTGTGTGTGTGTGTGTGTGTGTGTGTGTGTTTAAAAAAAAAAAACAAAACAACAATAAAAAAAAATCCCAGTTGTTTGATTTTACCAATGAATACTCAAGAGCTGGATGCTGGGGTGAAACCTATTAGCTCAGAGGGGTAGAGAAAGCACCCAGCTGACCTTCCTACTCATTTCACTTTCCAGAAGGAAAAAGACAAAAGCCCTTCTTCTTCACACTGTTTTAAATACCCTTCTCTCAGTGTCCCTCCTTTCTGTTTACGCCCTGTCAATTGGTTTCTTGCTCCACCTCTCAACCTACGGTTAACTTTATTTACTCCTATGTACAGAAAGTTCTTGGATTAAAGTTCTTGGTGTGTGTTAGGGCTGAGCCACACCAAACAAAAAACAGGTTTTCACAGTTCACACTCTTGGGGCTCACAGTGGGATCAAATATCCTGCAACAACCGTGGGAGTTCACCTTCTGTCTTCTGTTGGGACCCAGCCGCCCCCTTTCTGCGTGCTGTGTCTATAAAGTGGCTCAGGTCAGGAATTAATATGAGGCTCTGGAGCAACATCCTGATGGTTTGTGCTGGTGAGGGATCTTGAGGGCCCACCTCCTTAGCCTGCACGTCCAGCAGCACTCTGCAGTCTGTAGTCTGTGGTCTAGGTAATTTCTCAGGACCCCTCACCTTGCTAAGGCGCCTTATCTTACCAGAACCTTCAGTGTCACAGACCTCTGCAGGTACGTTGCTGTGTAAGTGCTTGGACAATATCCTTGTTCACAAGCGAGCTCTGAAGCATCCCATTTGCCTGTGGTGTGGTTGCTTCCAAAGGGCTTTGGATGTTGTTGGCACACTCACGGGTGTCCCTGTGTGCAGAGGAAGGGCGTATCGCCAGCATCCTTGCCACAGCATGTGCAGGCAGGGTATAGCCCAGGTCCCCCATTGTTACTTTTGAAACCTCTAGATCCTTAGTCTCACACCACAGACCTCAGGCCCTTGATGTTTTAGGCAGTCAAGGTAGGAACTGTTGAGGAAAGCAGCTTTCTGACTTGCTCCTCATGGTTTGCTTAGCTTGCTCGCTTATACCAGCCAGGCCCACCTGCCTAGATGGGTACTATCCACAGTGTGTTAGGCCCTCCCACGTCAATCATGAATCAAGAAAAGCTCCTCAGAAGTGCCCACTGGACCCCCGATGTAGACGATGACTCACCAGGATTTGGGACTGTTGGGAGGTCTGAGTGTGGCGTGGCAGTCCTTCAGGGGAGCGGGCATATCTTCCTCAAAGCTGGCATCAGTTCTGGGTACATCCCCTGGAATGTCTCCCCCACCTCAGCTCTCTGCCTAGACTTACCATGCTGAGTGATACCTGCTTGCCCTGCCCTGCTGAGATGGGTTCCGCTCCAGGTCAGCATCCTTCCTGAAGCCGCTAGCCAGAGAATCTAGTTGATCTCGTATAGGAGAGGGATGATGTAGGATCTTAGTCACCACAAATCCTTCCTCATTGAGGCTAAAGCTGGGTCATAGACACTTCTTCAGCAACTTTGTGTCATCAGGCCCCATTTATTTGTCCTTTCTGACCCCACAGAACCCTTGTTCCTGGGGCCTTGGTATTCAGATTGCTGAACAGAAATTCCTCCAGATAAAATGCTACATGAGGTTGGGCCCTGAGACTGAATAGTCTTGCATATGCCCGGACCACTGCCAGGTGATCAGAAAAACCATCTTAGGAAGTACCCTGGCCACTGGGTCTGGATAACCCAGGCATCTCCAACTGGAAGACCCGAGAAGATTCTCCCACCTATCAGTATCTAAACTAGGGTACGGCTCACTCAGTACCTATGGCTCCTTCCAGCTCTCCACTACGCTAGCTACCTGAAACCTTTCCAGCCCAGGGGCTTCGCTTTGCTTCCTTTCCCCCAATGTCTCTTTCCTATAAAAACCTGCCATTTTGGCCATGTGCTCTCTTGGCCTCTTGGCCCTTGGCTTCTTTCTTGGTATGATTGCCATATCTCTTCTTCCCTTCCTCTGTTGCTCCCTTCCCCCAACCCTCCTCTCATGGCCCAGTTCAGTTTGGACCCTTCCAGATGCCACTGGCTGAACTCTCTCTTATCTACAATAAAATCCTCTCTTCCACCATACCTTGGAGTGGTCATGTCTCATTTTTATTCAGGGTACTGCACTATTTCCTTCTCTATTGCTATGATAATAAACCATGACCAAGGCATCTGTGAAAAAGTTTGTGCTGGCTTATAGTTTGAGAAGGATAAAAGTTCATTATGACAGAAAGGCATAACAGTAAGAAGCAGGCATGGTCTTAGGAAAGCAGCAGGAAACAGTGATCACATCTTCAATCACATGCACAAAGCAGAAAGAATGAGCAGGAAGCAGGGTGAAGGCATAAGCTCAAAACCCTGCCAACAGCGGAATAGTTACTCCAGCAGGCTGCACCTCTTTTTGATCCTCCCCAAAGAGCACCACCAACTGGGGACCAAGTATGCAAATGCCTGAGCTTATTTCTTATTTAAGCCACCACGTTCCACGGGCCCCATGCATATTATAATGCAAAATGCATTTAACCCAAATTCCCAAAGTCATTAACATTTAAGCTGTTAACCCAGAGTCTCTTCTGAAATTTAAGATAATCCGAAAATCAAAAGGTAGTTTTATATTATATACACATAGGTATGTATGTCACAATGCACAAGGACATAGAATATACATTACCACTCCAAAGGGGAGGAATGGGGGTGCAGTGGAAAATACGGGATGAAAGCAAGACTGAAGTCCAATAAGGAAAACCCTAAATCCTATAGCTCTGTGTCTGGTGCCTAGGAATTCAGTTTTAAAGGGCTTAGATGGCCTAGCTCCTTTAGTTTTGTTGCCTCCAACTTACATCTCTCTTGGGGATGGTTCCAATCCCTGACTGTCCTTGACAGATGCATCGTGGCTTAGCATCTCCAACATTCTGGAGTGTTCATTGCAACCCAGTTTCACCATCAGTTTCATGCAATGGCCTCTCATAGCCTCTTGCCCTCTCAGGGCCTTCACATGGATTCCCCTTCCAAACACTGCCTGGCTCAGTTGGAAATAAAGCTGCTGTGAACATCTACACAGATATCTTTTGTGGGCCTTCCTTTCTGTTGGTTGTGGGCCTGGGAGTATAATGGCCAGAGCATATATCAGATACAAGCTGAGTTCTTCAAGAACCTGTGAAACATTTCCAAAATGGTGGTGCCCCATTCCATGGTGTCAGTCAGCTTTTTGTAGTTCCTGCTGTGATGGATCTTTACATTGTGGTCTTTTATCTTGCCAAGAACATACAAGTCATAGTGGACACAGAAGTGTCTACACAGTTGGCATGTCCTTTACAAACAGGGAACATTCTACTTCTCCCCTCCAATCTAAACCTCTCCCTTTTCTCCTTTTTTGAGATAAGGCCTCACTATGTAGCTCAAGTTGACCTCACACTCCTAATCCTCTTGCCTCAGCAAGAGCTCACAGGTGTGTACCAGCATACCTCCCTTGGATAGCCCCTGTGATTACTGCACGGAGTGAGGACCACAGGTGAAGGAATAAACAGAAGTAAAGACTGAACATGGGAATCTAGCTCCTCATTTTAGGGGCAAGTAGTAGTCTTTCACTATGTGTGAGGCTGATTATAGGTTTTGGTTTTTTGTTTGTTTACATTTTATGTACCAAGCCCAGGAAGTTTCTTTCTGTCTCTAGTCTGGAGACAGTCCATTCTGGGAGTCAAGAAGGGGTGCTGAGCCTGTCTTGTGCTTTTCAGTGTCCCTTTGGCCATCACCTTGGATTTTCTGAACTGGTTGTTTTTTGAAGGCAAAGCCATTTTCGCAGCTGTAGAGAAAAAAGGGCTCTTGCTTCCAAATCTAGACATTCTCTGCATTTTATTGCAGATTTTTAGTATATTTACATTAACTAGGTGTATATCTGTTATCTTATTGTCTTTTATTTTTTTCATTTGTTGTTTCTTCTTTGGGATGATTGTTCCCCCTTGTCGCCTATATTACTCCGTTAGTTGAAATTCTCTGATGGTTTAGAGAGTTTATACTAAACTTACTTTTTAAGATGGGGTCTTAAAAAGTCTTATTCTACCGTCCAGGCTTCAGTCCGAACTTTGAGGCTTAAGCCATTCTCTTGCTGTAGACACTGGAGCAGTTAGGACTGCAGAGTGTCATCAAGCTCTGCTTCCTGTCTTAGCCTGTTGCAGTTGAGCGTCAAGTGGCATCATGTTACCTAGTGAGCAGAAAATAATTACATTATATTTACATTTTTCTTTTCAGAGTTTGTGCTAATGAGATATGGTCACTCCAGCCATCTTCCAATGTTTCTTTGTACAGTTCTCTTGCATTCACATCCAATAATCCTTGCTGTTGCAATTATCCATCATCTTAATTTCATATCTTGAAATTAGATTTGTGGCTACAAGGGTTTTCCGTGATTGTAAGCAGTGTCTCAGTCTTCCCTGCAGTCCCCATCTTCCAGACACAGAGTCTCACGCTGTCGTTCAGACTGTCCTGGCTTCCCGCAGCATCTGAAATACAGAAAGGGCCACAGAAAGCGCGTGGCGTTTCTGCTTCTTCACTCCGCTGCCTGGTGTCGGTCAGTTTTGAGTCACTGCCTATCTTCCCCAACTGAGTTAGAACTTCTCAGTTCTTTTCATGTTTGTTAGGACATCTGGAATTATGCTGAGTATTTCTCTTTCTGCACATGCTTCTGGGATGTGGCTGGGTTACCTGGAAGCTGGAAGATCCTCTGCTCTCATTTTCACCCATCATCAGGAGGGGACAAAACTACTTGGTCTGGGTGATCCTGCCCCACTTCAACTGAAGAGAGCTTTTTTATACTGTAGCTAGTGTCGCTTGAGCTTTTAGGTCTGACTTGGGCTGTGGGCACTGTTTCTGACTGACCCTAAGTGTTTGCTTCCTGTTCTCCCTACATTTCCCACACTCGCCATCTCTTTCCTTTCTGGAGGCCCTCTTTGCTGGCTGAGCCAGTGTCCAGAGCTCAGTGGATTTTGTCCTCTTGCTCTCTGCTTGCACTTCACCTGGGCTCTGCCTGGGAGTGTCCAGGACAGTTGTTGGCAGCCGCCGCCCAGGGGTGCTGTCTGTCCTTTGCTGCCCTGCCTCATGTCTTCAGTGCCTTTCACCTACGTTTGTCACTGTTAATAGTTTCAGGTGAGAGTGCAAATCGAATCCTTACCACATCTCAGTTCTCTGCTGATCTCTTTGGGGGCATGTGTACTTTTCAGCCTCTGCAGCTGCTAAGAGGCCATCTTCACAGTAAGCTTGGCTCTCTACTTTGTTCAGCCATGATTCTAGGCCATCACAGAGCCTGGTCTTACGGGCTTAGAGAAGGAGGATCATAGAAAGAGAGAATTAGGGCCTGTGGCGGGGGTGGGGTGGGGCGAAGGGCTTACCTATGCTGTCAGATGCGACAAAGAGACTCGTGCAAACTCGTGATGCTCTGGCGTGGGATTGCTGACTGGACACGGAATAGCCAACCGCCTAGGTTTCACTTTTAAAGGGGCAGGGCTTGCACTCAAGACTCCCCGGTTTCGGGTTCCAAAGCGCAGCGAGGCGCGGCGAGCCAGGTTCCAGAGCTGCGCAGCGGTTTCCGGACGGCAGGAGTGGGCACCCTGTGGGCTCCGGCAGGACGTGGCAAGGCGGGGCTGCCGAGTTCCCTCGGGAGCTGCTGGGCCTGTCACCTCCGCCAGGGGGCAGCATGTTCTTGGGCCGGGCAGAGGTAAGGCGTGGAGGGCCTGGGCGGGCAACAGGGAACAGGTGCAGGGAAGGGTCGCCCCGGCAGGGGACAGAAAAGGTGACGGAGGATTGGAGGCGGTGACCAGGGATCAGGGCCCAGCGGCCAGGAAGCAGGAGGGAGGCAGAGGACGCACCTGCACTGACACCTACGTCTTTGAACAAGCCTCACCCACCTGCGGGCTCTGCACCTTCCTGGAACTCCTATCCACTGCCCATTCTTTTCCTGCCCATTGGGCTCACTTCATGCTTTTAACTTCCCCGCACTTCAGAGCCACCTTGACACACACCTGCCTTTGGCAGCAACACACCTGTTGGAGTTCTTCATGCTTCAATGGCGTCTCCTCACAAAACTCTGTGGAGCCAGGGCCTACTCAGGCTAGCCAAGGGCACTCTGTTTTGAATGCTTTCTGTGTCCCCCTCCCCCACACTATCAGCCCAAGCCCTCTGGTAGCCCAGAAAAGGTTCTGTGGGCTGCTTCTGAGACAGAGCATTGGCAGTGAGATGGTCCCTGAACCTTCATGCAGGGAGCAGAGGAGGCACAGAAGGCATGGGAGGCTCACCACCACTTGCCCACCAGGGGCCCACAGCGGCCCAAAAACAGAATTTGGGGCTAGGAACACTAAGGGATTCCCCAGTTTCATTTTTCTCTGGAAGGCTTCCGGGAAGTGTGTGTGTGTGTGGGGGGGGGGGGGGGGTGTTCTTAGCTCAGGGAAGAGAGGCTGTTTGGATCAGGTCCTTGGAAGCTGAGCATAGGAGTGGTCATAGGAGTATTCCTAAGACCTGTTGGGTAGCTCCCCGGTTTCTAGGGTCTCAAAAATTATGGGTTTTGTGTTGAGGAAACTTGAAAGACTCATGTGTTGATGAATTTTGGCTCTGGTGAATGAGAGTAGGCAGGAAGCTGTGGGGTGGCCAGTGGGGTCACTCAGGCGAGAGAATGCAGGGGGTGGGTCAGAGAGCTGCTGCTGGAGGGAGAGGGCGAGGCCTGGGAGTCAGGTGGTTTCTCTTACACCCTATGGGCACGGGTAACTCACCAGTCTTTTTCTGTCTGATGGGCGCAGGGGCTCGGCGTGACACCTGCAAAGTAGCAATGACAAAGGGACCCATGTCCCGAGATTACAAAGGCGACAGTGCGATGAAGCCTCCAGGTGGGCCGCAGGACTCTATCTGCCCTCCTAAGGTCACTAGCCATTGCTAGATGCTCAAGTCAGGTCCTCTTTGGACTCCAGTACTGGAGACCCGCCTCTGCCTCAAACCAGAGCAGCCCAGCGGTCCTCGCACAAAAGCTCCAGGGTTGGCGGACTTCAAGCCCAGCAGTGTTTTCGGCCGTTCAGTTCCCTTCCTCCTGGGCCACCGGGCTAGAGCCAGGACCCGAGACTGGGCAGTAGTGGCCAGCTCTCGGAGCGAGCGGCCTGGGCTGGTGCGGGTACGAAGTGGGCTTCGGGGCCACCCGCCGGCCTCGAGGCCGCGGGATCGCGCGTTCCCAGAGCGCAGGGGGGCGCGGCAAGCAGGGAAGCCCGGGCGCGCTCCAGGGAGTAGCCGGCCAGAAGGGCAGAAGCACGGCGAGGGTTAAGCTGCGTGCTTGGCGGGCACGGGCGCGGATTGGAGAAAAGTTTCGGGGAGGGGCGGGGCCAGAGGCGCACTGGGGCCCGCCGATTGGCCAGAAGTTGTGCGGGGCGGAGCCCACGGCCGCTCCGCGCTCGCTCCGGGAGAGTTGACAAAGCCCCGCAGGGAAGGACGCCTCGCGGCGCGGCGCCCCGGGCCCCTCGCCCCGCCGCCCCTCGCCCCGGCCCGCGCCCGGCCCCGCTGTTTATCCGCGCGGACAGCGCGCCCCGCGCCCCAGCCCGGCCCCAGCCGCTAGCGCCCAGGTAGCGCCGCCCCGCCC